TATTTCCGGTGCTGGGGAGATAGCTCAGCAGTCTACGTGCCTGCTCGGCAAGTACAACTACCTGGATTTGATCCCCAGTACCACATGCCATGCTGCCCTGGAACCCTAGAGGTGCCAAGCCAGCCACTGAAACTGGGAGTGGTGGTACATGCCTGTAATCCCAGCACTGGGGAGGCTGAGACAGGAGGATCACTATGAGTCTGAGGTGTGTAGCAAGACCCTGTACCAAATAAATAAATATTTCTTTAAAAAATTTAAATACATATTTCCATAAGTACCCCTAAAATACTTTTACTCACTCTAAACACACTTGTCCTATCATCTTGCCCCTGTGTAAGTGATTCTGGGAGTCCTTTACTGTGTTCCTATGACATATGATAAAAAGATACAGGGACTGCTGCTGCTGAGTGCCTTCCAAAAGGGAGGCCGCCTCCTAAAGCCCCTCCAGCGTGTCCTCCTCCACTCTGCTGGCTCTGACACCACGGCATGTCTAGCTCTTCCCCAAATCAAAAGGACCGTGGCAGGCAAACATTTTGAATCAGTTCAGAACATCAAGGCAGCCACAGTAGGGCAGCTATAGACAGTCGTGAAAGAGGACTTCCAGAACTGCTTCAGAAAGCTGCAAGAATGATGGGACAAGTGTGTTCAATATGAGTACAAGAGATTAGAGAGGGATTAATGGCAATGTGTCTTTTGCTGCAATAACTATTTTTTTAATTAAGCATTAGCCAGATTTTTCAATTATACTTTGCATCTTTAAAACTTGTGAAAGACCTCAACTGAGATGCACACCGTTCGGTGCCTTTGGTGCCGATGTCTGCGGCCTGCGGCCGTGGGCTGTGCAGTGGTGGCCAGAGCCTGGCAGGTGCTTGTTCTCTGGAAGGCGTACTCCTGTTGATTCCTCTATGCTCAGGTAAATGCCTCTTGAGTCATCCTCTCAGGCTGCAGGAGACAATGCGAGAGGCCTTGGGCCTCCTGCTTGGTCACCAGGCGGCTGAACAAGATTGGCCCTGACTGCCCTGTGTGTCTGCTCTGTTCTCCAAGTATGTGTTATCCCCACTGAAGATGGCATCACATGGGGCAGAAATGCGCCTGCTTGTACGCCAGGCAATGTGCCCAGCCTCAGCCCTCCTGGTGATAGACTCAGAGAGCCAGGTGCTGTGCCCTCCCCGAAGCCAGCTGGCTCTGCGTCTTCGTGTCTCTCGACGACCTGCTTCCCATCGTCCCTGACAAAGGGCTTAACGCTTGCACCCTGGACTCAACATCGGTACTGCTCAGCTGGTGGGGAGAAGCATACACATTTTGGAGTTGATGAAGGGATTCTGTGGTTGCTGTGTGAGCCACGTATGAGCCTTTGGTTCCCTTTGGGGGTGTGCTTGACATCCAGATGCCGCCAAGGGGAGCTCTCAGAGGGGCCCTGGGGTGTCTGCAATTCAGGGCCATAAAGGAAATTCTTATTGATGGTAATTGTCCTCCTCCCAGGCGAGACAAATGAGAGCTTTTCATGACAGAATTACCTGAGTACCGGGGCTGGAGAGATGGCTCAGTGGTCTAAAGCACCTATTTAGAACAAGCTTAGTAACGCATCAAGGGACCGCGGTTCAATCCCCCAGCACCACATGCCAGCCAGCCCCGCCCCCTGGTGGGCTGAGCTGGCCACACACACACACACCTCTCTCTCTCTCTCTCTCTCTCTCTCTCTCTCTCTCTCTCTCTCTCAAAAAAAAAAAAAAAAAAAAGAATTACCTGAGTACCAGCTCTTGTTGGGTACAAGGCCTCAGACTTTGCCCTTCTATTACTCTAGCAGAGTCAGACCCACATGATGGGTAATTAGACATTGACATTCACTTTATCATATATAATGACAGCTCTGCACACATGGGCTGTGCTATTGGAATGTGTTTCAGGTTTGGAAAATTGCATCTTTCGCTTTCACCTTGGGTCAGCTTATGCTTACTAATTTTTGAACCTCCAGGAGAAGCCAGGCTAATTAAGGTTTGACCAGTCCTAACACACACACTTTCTCCCTCCTGGAGCTTTGACAGGCTTGGGTCTTGGCTTCTGAGCTCTTTCCTTCTCTTCTTCCCTCCTTCCCTTCCTTTCTTTCTTTTTGTACCGGGAATCGAACTTAGGACCTGTGCTTGCCAGAGAGGTGCTTTGCCACTGAACTATATCCTATGCCCCCTAGCTGTTTCTTTTCTTTTCTTTCTTTCTATTTGGTACGAGGTCTTACTACGCAGCTTGGACTTGTAGCTACCCTCCTGTTTTCGGCTTCCCCAGAGCTGGAATTCACCTGGTCTTGGTGGCTGACTCAGCATGCTCCAGGGGTGGGGCCGGTGCAGCATGTGGTGCTGGGGATCGAACCCCAGTCCCTGTGCTTGCCTAAGCAAGTGCTTAGTTCACTGTGCTATCTTGCTCCCCTCCCCCAGCTATTTTTTAAGGTGCCTTTGGGGTGGGGTGGTAGTAGCAGGGTCCAGAATCTGACCCAAATAGCATCTCTTTTATTTGTTGAATGTAGTGGGCTGGTGAGAAATTTCTTTAATCTATTTGAAAAGGTTCCAAAGCTAAACATGGTTTTGAAAAATATTGCGCTAAGCCACAATTCGTGGCTCTGAATGTCTGTGCACAAGTTTTAGTTCTCACAAGCCTCCCCTAAAAAAAAAAAAAAAAAAAAAAAAAAAAAAAAAACCTTTACTGGAAGTCTTTAAAGTAGTGAGTCACATGTTAATATATAGTAAGTTCCACATGTCTCCTGTCGCTCCCTGCCTGCTCCGTTCTTCTGAAGACAGCCAGAGTTCACAGGTAGATAAGCGTGATCCACACTTTGCTCTGTCTGGGCTGTAGCCTTGAAATGCTCTCCGCTGCCAAGAGATTTCAAACATTCAAAGAATTGAGGTGGCTATAATCAACCCTGGGTGCCCATCACTCACCTCCTAAGACCCACCTGGAGAACAAGTTCTAGCATAATTGTAGAAGTCTCTAAAGTAGTGCCAGGCCGGTGTGAAACGTGAATCTTTTCGGTGCAGAGATGGTGTGCACTTGGTATTTTGTGTGTGTCTCTGAGGGGAGGCCTTTTCCGCACCGACTTTGTCCCTGGCCATATTGCAATCCCGACTTGGGAAAGGAGGCTGCTGGGAAGGAGCCTGGGGAAGGGGCAGGCGGGAAGTGCCTCACAGACTCGGCTGCTCTTCATCCCTCAGTTCGCACAGCGGAAAGGCTCTGGCCGAGTGGTGCACATCTGCAACCTCCCGGAAGGAAGCTGCACTGAGAATGACGTCATTAACCTGGGGCTGCCCTTTGGGAAGGTGACGAATTACATCCTCATGAAGTCCACTAATCAGGTAGGCCTGGGTGCCTCCGCTCTATGCGGTGTAGGAGAGACCACATCTTGGTGAATGAGAGATTTGGTGTATATACATTTTTTTTTCCCTAGAAGCAGTTTTTAAGCTAAAGAGATGGTGCCCAGCTGGTTCTGTTGGGCCTACACATGGGCTCCTGCTGGGGCTGTTGTGCTTTCCTGGAGGAGAGCCGAGGTGCTTGGGAAGCGGGGCTCATTAATGCAGATGAGCTAATTGGCCCCACAGTAGATATCTGAGGGCCGCTGTGTGGCTGTGCCCCTGGACTAACGCTGTGGTCTCTAAACTAGCTGTAGCTGGTGGCCTGGGTTTGGAGCCAGGCAAGAGCTGGCTGGGAACTGGGATTTTAATGAGTCTTGGTGTCCGTGCAGCAGGCTGCGGGTCTCAGGAAAATCAAGAAGGAATTGATGGAAGCTAAGAGTCCCTGACCTTGGGACTTGGCTGAGCCCCAAATACGTTGTCTCCATGCTAACATTTAAGGGGAACATTGGATGGCAAGTGATCAGAAGCCAGAATATTTTGGGTTTTATTTTTAATTAATAGTTTTGTTTGCTGAATCCCAACAAGTGCAGATGTTCTATGAACTAAAGCTAGGGGACCTGAAGCCACAGGAGACCATTAGTGGTCCCTCCCTCCCTGAGGATATAGCCCTCCTTGGTCTCCACGTTCCTGCCTCTCGGGAACTCTGTTTTGGGTGGATGTACTAAGTTCAGCTTGCGACATGAATGCAGTGGGAGTGCCTGGGCGAGTAGCAGCCACCCTGAAGAACTGAGAGCTAGAGGTGCTAAATATCATCTCAAGAAGAGGTGATCAGGCACACACTTGTAATCCCACTACTCTGGGAGGCAGAGGCAGGAGGATCTCAGATTGGAGTTCAATCTGGCCAACTTGGCAACTTAGCAAGACCTGTCTCAACACTGAAAAGGTCTTCACAAAGGGGCTAGAGATGTACCTCAGTGAGAAGACTTTGGTTCAAACCCAAGTACCATGTACACACAGAAAGCACAAAGCTCATGGCAGAATTTGAAATAAAACCCTAAAGAGTCTTTAATTGTGCATACTTCTGCCACAGGTGGTGACAACATGGAAAAAAGCTGTGCTTCTGAAGTGGACCCATAAATGGCAGTGAAAGAGGGTGAATCGGCTTCATTTGCCCATTTGGTTCAGGAAAATAGGCAAACTGGGACTCACAGCAGGGCTCCCTCTTCACAGGTCACTCCTTCTTCCCCACATAGACCAGAATCCATGCTCATCAACACAGTACAAAGAAAGCAAACCTGAGAAACAGTAACAGTGACAAACGTACTCCAGCAGCTACTGGGCCAAACGGACAGATCCAGCAAAGCAAGCTGTAAACCTAGACTAGATGGAAAGGCCTGTTTCTCTATATGTGTCTTTTAAAATTTTTTTTAAATTTTAAATTGAAACAGTTAAAGAGGAAACATTCTGTGGAAGCCTTGTCAGGGCCTTTCTCTTGACTCATAATGGCCTGGCGTCCCCTGGAGCCTCGGGGACCATGAACATCTGGGTTGGGGGATCCATTTCTTTCTTTATAAGACAGGGGAGAGTAGGGTTCAGACAAGTATGGCTTCTGCTTCTGTCTCCTTCTGTACTACCAAATAGCAGTGCAAGGCCACACGTGGGACAGCCCCTGCTGGGAGCTGTGAGATAATGACTCTTCCACACCAGAGGGGCTTCCCTAGCATGCCGCAGTCCAGGGTGAACATTCGTAATTAAGAATACCTTTTCGTAACCATGGCGATTAGGAGAGGCGCCATCTTCTAATGAGCTCTTTGGGTGAAGTTAATAAAAAGGCCTCTTTGAACACATGAGATCAAAGAGCACTTTTCTTGTCCCGATTTTTTTTTTTATTGAAGAATAAAATAGATACTCTTGAGTGCATAAAGTAGAGTAGGATTAAGTCTACTGCTCCATTAATTTTTTCACATATGTAAACCCATATAATTAACACTGAAGCGAAGACATAGGACACTTCAAGAACATCAGAAGCTTTCCTTATGCCTCTTTGCAATCACTTCCCCACCTCCAGACCACAAGGAAGCTCAATTCATTTCTACTGACATCAACTCATTTTCCAATTCTTGAATTCATTGACATGATATCACACCTTGAACAGCATTTTGTTTAAGCCCACAAAATCAAGTCCAATATATGCACTTTCTGTCTTTCCAAGGCCTTTCTAGAGATGGCGTACACAGAAGCGGCCCAGGCCATGGTGCAGTACTACCAAGAAAAGTCTGCCATGATCAATGGCGAGAAGCTGCTCATTCGGATGTCCAAGCGATACAAGGAACTGCAGCTGAAGGTAAAGCATTCTCTCACTTGTTCAGTTATTCACCAAGCATCCTCTGAGTTTCCCTACTTGGTAGCCCCTGAGCTAAGTGCTGCCAGAGAAGAGAGGCTAGGAAAAGATTTAGAAATTACTCACTGCCTTTGAGGATATTGCTTGGAAAGGCAAATTATTATATGGTGACACAAAAGATGTTTGTTAAGGTAAGTACAGAATGCAAGGGGGTGCGTGAGTGTGCTAGGAGCCAAAGGCGCCTTCACTAGGGAAGATGTCTACAGAGGTCTGAGGGAGCAAGGAAGGAGAGGAAGGGGGCTGCTGCTTGGTGAGGGTGGTTCCAGGCATAAACTCCCCAATACAAGCTCTTCAGTGCCCAGAAAACCCTTCAACGACTTTTCTTTCTCTGTCCCTCCCCTTGATCTTTTGTTTTTTCCTCCTTTCTCTGGGTTGATGTTTTAAGCCCCATAGAACTCCTACGCAGTACTTGACTGACTTGGAGACTGTCAGAATTCAAGTCATTTAAGACCAGATTTGTTTTTATTTTTCCTTCCTTCCTTTTCTGTTTTATTGAGAAATACAATAAATATAGAATAGTGGCAAATAATATGTCATACAACTTAAAAGTGATATTGGATGAGATGTTGTACATCCCATAAAAGCCACCACCGAAGTCAATAAATAGAACACGGGCAGTGCTACGAAGCCCATTAGAGTCCTTCCTCACGTCCCGCCCTCTCTCCACTGAGGATATTCATTCCCCTGCTGTTCCTTACAGTTCTACCACTTCCTCCTGCCTCCCTAATAACATCATTTCATTTTGCCTGTTATTACACTTAACTTTAGTGGATTCACAGTGTCCACTTTCTTTCCAGTCTTGCTTCGTTTATTCAACATTATGTCATCCATATTGTTGGGTGTATCTCTTTTAATGGTTAGAATTTGATGCGGTGTGGGTACAGTGTGTTTATCCATCTTACTGTTGATGAACACTTGGGTTGTTTCCAGTCTTAGGCTATTAGGAACAACGCTAATACCCTGCTCAAACATGTCGACTTGGTACACATGCGCATAGCGTCGCACTAGGGGAGAGACAGCAGTCACATCCTCTTTCTGAAATTAGTTTCAGTGGCTTTAAATTCATTTTAGTAGTGCATGAGGGTTTTCAGTGGCCCGTGTTCTTACAATCTTTGTCTTGTTCAACTTTTTAGTTTTTGCCTGCTTGGGGAGACTGTAATGGTTTATCTTGGTTTTATTTTTTAACTTTCCTGCTGACTAATTATGACTGAACAACTTGCCATGCTTATTGGCTGTTCCACATGGATCTTCTTGGAAGGAAGTTTCTTTCTTTCTTT